TCACGTGAGAGGTTTCTATACAGTTGACTCAACCGAGTTTTAATACAGCTGAACGTTCGGACGAATGTTCTCAGTCGTGGTAACAGAGATATCATTACTTCATGTCGTCGAGTTTTCACTTCTTGTCGCTGAGTTTCCACTTGGTCCTTATTCAGCTGCAGAAACTTTTCTGTCTTTTCGTGCGGATATTTTCCTCTCGTTACTTTCAAATTAAATCATTTCCTTCTGACTTCGATCAAGTAATGATTAATTTTTATTTATGGTGACTTTATAATGATAAATCAATGATTGATTCCGACAGGAAATTTTAAATTTCAAGGTCGCGATCATACCCGCGGTTACCAAGTGGGTCTTGCGCACGAGCTACAACGACTCTTCGTTCCGTTAATCTTCATTTCCGCGTTTCTCGTGTCTTCGAAATCCCCGAAGACGGGGCGGAAAATTTCTGCCACGCGCTTTCAATCCGGCGGCGGTTTCACTTTCTCGAAATTCGGATCCACGTCGTCCTCCCATGCTCATCGCATACGAAGCTTCTCTCGCCGGATATTGCGTTGGTCATCGATGCGCGTCCGCTTTGTGCGAATCGCGAGGTCAAGAGGAGCGAAACGAAAACGAGAAGACAGAGAGAAGGAGAGAGAGAGAGAGAGAGGTAAATAGAGAGAAACGTTATCGTTGGTCCGTGAGAGTCGCAGGGTCAGAGTAGAAAGTGGTGTCGCGCGACGCACGCCGGCGCGATGAAGGTCGGATCCGGGATGTTTGAACCTGATCTACGCCAGTTTTCTTTCATTCATGTCGATCGTGCGGCCTGTAAGATCCGCGTGGCCGTAGACATACGGTCGCGCGCGCGCGTGCGCGACGCCAAAAGGACGAGCGCCGTCTGCCAGGAGAGAGAGTACGATCGTTTCGCAGATTTTCCTTTTGAACTGCATCACGGCCACGATCATCGTCGTCATCGGCTGCCAAGTAGCCAGTTGAGCCACTTAAGCGTGCGCGATGGCACGGTAGAAAAACGTAAGCGGTAAAACTTAAGCGATAGGCAAATTGGCCAATTACATTGGAGAATTGGTGAGAACGCGAGACTGTCATGTTGAAATTCTCGACTGTGATTGGCCAATTTGTTTAAGTCCGGTCGCTTACTGTTTTCTGTACACGCGGTGATACACCGAGAGAAAAAATATCTTAAGGATAAAAGACATTCATTCCGTTAATGACATATTTATATTTAATCTCTAAAATCTGTCACTTAAAAAGAATGAACAATTGCTTCTTCAGGAAAAGTTGCGGCTTCGAGGACATGCGTGTTTTCTCGTCATTTGAAAGAAATGTTTTCTCAGTGTGCAAATATTTAGTTTTTATTATTTATATTATATATCGGGGTTGTAATATGGAACTCGCATTTGTGCTAAATTTGTGCCATTGCTTGAAACTCAGTAATTATATTACTCATTAGAAACATTAGATTCCGTTTGGTTCACTTGAAAGCGCTAGCGTTAAAATAAGCGTTTCGCCCGTGTACGAATATTCCGTTTCACGAAAGTGCGGTGGAAGATTTAACAATTTTTTTCGTATATATATTGTTAAATGTAAAATAATAGCTTTTATGCGTCGGATAATACCAAGATTAAGGTGTGAAATGATAAGTTAATTATTTAGAAATACGTATGCTATGTTTGGTTGAAGGAGACGAAATTTCTTGTTCTCACGAGCCGAATTTGGTTCTTACAATCAGAAATTTGGCTCCTTTCAACCAAAGCGCGTTCGGCTGCCCATTGTTCGATAAATCCAACAAGGTTCACTTTGCAGTGCGCACAAATTCCGGGGAAATGTCAACAAACTAAAAATATTCGGTAGATACTGATATAACTGATATAATATTTATTTATACCAGCATACAGACTTTCGGTTGTCCATTGTCAGGTAGATCCGGCCAGGTTAATTTTTTAGCGCGAGTCCCGTGCAACGCGTAATCGCACGAATGAGGTTTTCAGTAATAAAAGACGGCACGTAATCGGACGCAGACGGAGGTCGCGCCGTTTTCACGGCCGTTCCGTCGGCTCCTCTCCTGTCGTTTCTTTCCCTTCCCCCTTTTCCCTTCCCTTCCTCACACGCGCGCAATAAACGAAGAATTGTGAGCACCGGGTTAATTAAACGCGGCTCGTTTGTAGAAACTATGCATATAACGAATGCGTTATCGTCACGCGAGCTTCGCCGCGACTGGTTCCTGTGGATGTTAATTCAGGCGTGCGCGCTTTCCACTCGTAGAGCCGTAGCTTTCGCGTCAACGAGCGAGCGTATTCGTTGATCGATCGTTTCTTATTGCAATTGCGTCCCTCCATTGAAGACGGATAGGCGACAACGAGTTAATAGGCGATGCCGCACCGGCCACGTGCCGGAGCCGGTTAGCATTCATACTCAGGTATCTGGGATCGCCGTTTTGGGAGAGCCTTACCGAAGGTTTGTTTACACAAGATTTAACACATTCTCGAAATTTAGGTCCCATTCGGTATTCTCGTTTTTGCATACGTAAGTATGCAAGGTAATTGGGACAGGCGAGAAACCTCGATGAATGGAAATATTAATCCTAACAGAGAGTTTAGCATTCCTTCACACGGAATACATGTGTGTGATATGAATTATATGCTCGCACACATGTCGATGCAACTATCGCGCTCACATCGCCGTTGAAATGAAGAGGAAATGGACATTCAAGTGTCTCATTTATTAATGTTTCTTAACGTTTATTTGACGATTTATTTATTTATTAATCATTCGTTAATGTTTATAATACTTTGTGATGATTTGCTTATGATCATTTATTAATGTTTATTAAGGTTTTCACTAATTTATCACTGTCTCGTTATTAAAGTTTAATAAATATTGCAACGTGCAATGAACTCCCCAAAATAAAAAAAACTGATCGTATTTCTCGTCTGAAAAGGTTATTTCTGTCATAACACGCGCGTAATTAAAACTTAAATTATTTTACTATTATTGAAGTTCAACCGATTATATCCGGTAAAATTTGAGAAATATAATATTGTCCAAAGTTCTAAGGAACGTCCTATACGTACACGGAAGAAACGATTTCGTCGCTATAACGAAATTTTCCGTTGCCTGGGGATTAACACGCACAGACGAAAAGTCGGTTGTAGGAACAGAAACATTCTTGTAGGCGATTTCTACTCAGTCCCAATTATTCTCAGTTCAGTCTTAATCTGTTTTAATGCAACTGAATATTCCCAGTCGCAGTAACAAAGATATTATTCCTCATCACTGCAAAGAGATTAGTATCGCAATAAAAAAATTAATATCCATTCAAGACTTATATTATCACATATAGGATGTTCCAGATAAACATGGCCTACAAATAGTCTACAAATAAACGGTTGTTGTATCTAGCAATAGATATCAATATATTGAAAAGTTCAAGGTTCGAGATTCAAAGTTCAATATATCGATGATACAATGCTAGATACAACATATACTTGTAGATTAGGTCATTCTGAACAAAAAGTCCTGTATCATTTTGCAAATAACACGCAAACTTTTTAGTTATTAATTAAAAACTTATATACATAGCCATTTTCGATAATGAATAACTCGAATTTTGCGTGTGTTATTTGTAAAATGGTGAAGGAATGTTTTTTTACGTCAATCTGTTGTCATGTCACGAATTTTATTCATATCATTCCGTTCTACGCCCTTATGAGGTTTATCTCTATTGGTCTGGGACACTCGAAAATTTCTTCTAAGTGCGACCAAGTTTTATTTTCATATGAGATTATGTATTCTTGCTTATATATGAGAATACATGTCTTGAATTAATACTAATTTTTTTTTCCCGCATGAGTTTTCACTTTTTGTCACGGAGTCTTCATCTGGTCCCCATTCGGTCGTAGAAATCGAACTTTTTTTCTCCGTGTAACATATACGATATGCTTCACTTTTTACGAAATCCGATACCACATTCAAATATCATATTTTTCTTATTCAAGAATAGTTTTCATGAAATGAGAGGAAGAATATTACATTGAAAGGACGATATCTTTGAACTACGAGTCTTAACAGTTTGAAGATATTCTATCTAATATTTTTCTCTTAATTCATGAAAATTATTCTTGAATGACAAGAATATGATATTTTTCGTGGAACTATATAGAATTTCACATCTGAGCAATGTTTATCTTCCTATGAGATTATATACTCTCGCTTATACACGCGCGAATGAACTCTTGGATTGATATTAATTTTTTTTCTATTCGAGCTTCCATTTCTCGCCGCCTAGTGTTCATCTGGGCCCCGTTCGGAGCCGAGTTTCTTTCTCTGTAACATACGATACTTTCCACCTTTCGATACCTTCCGCAACAAACCTTTTACTATCTCGGCGTGTACAATTGCGTCAATCTCCACCGTCTCATCAGTTGTGCGGTTACGTTCGCCTCGAGAGAGACGGGCCCGATTCAAGATCGCTCTCTTCTCGCACGCGGTGCACCGGTGGAGCCCAGTCGGTGCGGCGCGCTCGGGAGGAGCGCGCTGTTTGAAGAAAGCTTTTTTTTTTCCTACCGCTTGAGGCGTCGTCCCCACAGCTCGCCGTGTACGCCCCTATTTACACAGTCGTAGGCAGGTCGCAGGTCGCGTCGCGATAGGCGGCGTGGTCGATGCCTCCTTGTCGCAGGTATGTACGTATGAGCCGACGGTCTATTGGGCGAACACATTCATACGTCGCTTTAAACGAACGACTCGCTCATGTATTCACGCGTGGCAAACCGGCGGAAAAAAAGGTGGCGGTGGGGCGTCGGCGGTGGAGACGGTCGAGGAGGGGTCCGCCAAATATAAGCTAAAGAGATGGCCCGATGGACCATACGAAATTTCTCACTACGCACGCGACACGCTAATCCCGCGGCACCAAGTCGTGCTTGACTCTTTGCGGCTCTGCAAGCACGCGCGCGATCTGATCTGCTCCCTCGTATCTCTCACGTGAAATCCGACGCGAAGTCATCATGAAGAAGACGTTGACCGTCGCAGTGATCTTGACGAGCGCGTTCGTCCTCGCCGCCGGCCAGACCATCGACGAATGCCTCAAGCAGGACAGCATATCCTGTGTGCAGAAGAGCTTGTACAGGAGCGCGAAGGAGTTCTTCGGCAGGGACCAGCTGGAACTCGTCAGCGGGGTCAGCCTGGTGAAGAGCAAGGATGACGGCAGGAGCTCCAGGTCCGGCAAGGAGCTCGCGCACGATCAGGAGATGGACGTCGCCGCCGGCGTCGTGGAACGACAGAACGCCCTCGAGAACTTCCTCGGCGACGAGGCCACACACTTCCTCACCGGTCGCAGTCTCAGGGTAAATCGAGAGTTTCTCGCATCTAGATAAGCATCCCTAATTATCGTAGATAATTATCGAATAATCATCCCTGGTTATCCGCGGCAATTATCCAACGATTTAATATCTATAAATCGGATAATTATCTACGATAATTATCGAGCAAATTATTACCTTCGAATTTGCTAATTGTCTATGGTAATTATCGAATCAATATCTACGAGTGAGATTAATTATCTACGAGAATGATTGGAGAATCGTCCAACGACAATTTAAGTCTCCTTTTCTTTTCTTCGCGTTTACACACAGCCACATCCGGAAACGCAACCGGGTTGAATTGAAATTTCGAACTTTTTGCACAGATTAATCTCGCATCCGCCTTCGAGAAGATGAATGAGTCGGCTCGCGCCTTTAGCGAGTCCATGCCTACAGAGATTCGCCAGGCTGTGGATGAAGTGGTCGAAGGTAATTCAGCGACCCGGAGTCGAAATTCTGATTCTATTGTTGAACCTTTAATTCTGCAACACAGCAGGAGCTAAGATAGCGAAATAGGCTCAGTTTCAACTCTAATAAGTGGCACCTAAAGCGGCCCTCCGAAGAAATAGTCATCCAGGTCCATATTTTTGTCTTCTTCTTCCTTTGGCGCTGCAGCCCTTTGTAGGACTTGGACCTATCTTTCTTTCTCATATACTTGTGGTGCGCATGTAGATTATGCATAAGCATATAGGACCTATAATAACGCCGATTCCGAACGACAACAATTCTAATAATATAATTCACTCCTATTTTGATGTCTTAAATTCCCCTTTCCGCTATTTCAGCGTCAAAATAGATTATTCCAGATAACATGACAATGAAATCTGTAGAATTAAAGGTTCAAGAGAGAAATTAATAAGCGTCAGTATCGCCAAAGATTAGATTTTTATCAATCTATACACAGTAAAAAACATTTCGTATTTGTGTTCTCAGTCCTTGTTAAAATTTTGTGTTAAATTTCTATCATTTATATCAGTCTAATTTATATCAGTCCTTGTTAAAATTTTGTGTTAAATTTCTATCAAACACGTATATTAATTTAACGTAATTTATTTATGCTATCTCAACATTTTATGTTGTGTCGATATTCAAAACATGTATAAGTGTTAAAATAACACATTTCATACTTCAGTGTCAAACATTAATATATTAATTTTGTATTAATTTTTGACATAATATTTGTATTATTTTTTAATATATTCACCTTGTGTTAGATAAACACAAAAATTTGAGTCGAACGTATGGAGTGTGTGAAATATGTTAAATTTAACACAACATTTTTTACTGTGTAGGCTATCTATATAGAAAAAGCAATTCGGTCGAGTTTACTTGAAACGGACCGCCGCGCAGTTTTAGTGGAAGAAGGCAGAGTCAAATTCGCTTCTTATAATCAAAGATTCTGTTTCCTTCCACCAAAACGCGCGTTTGATTCGTCTATTTTAAGTAAACACAACCGTTTCATTGTAAAACTATCTTAGAATTACAACATGGTAAGATCGCGATAATGTCGATTCGTCCACGATGCACGGAAAAAAAAGTAAGTAAGTTTAGTTGGATCTACCTGATTCACAGTTTTGGTTCAAGGAAACAAAACTTCTCATCAGCCGAATTCGATTCTTATAACCAGAAATTCCGTTCTCTTCAACGAAGAGAATGCGTTTAGTCATCCATCGGGATAAAGTTCTCATTTATTAGAATAATTTCTGCGCGGAAGAAAAGTGCTAAATTCAAATAAAATCATTACTTCACTACCGTTGATGCATTTTAAATCAATTCTACTCGGATCAAGTAAATATTTTACTCAGACAATTTACTCGGAAAATCTTTTCCTCACTCCAAGTAGATATTATTCGACCCGAAAATTTGCCAAGGAGTATCGGAGTAATGATTTACTTTCACTTGAATCATTCACTTTTTCTTTCTGTGTGCGCACCGAGCGCTAAGATCACGACGAGGCTCATCCACGTGACTGATCATCATCATCTCTCCTATCATCTTTCCCGTTGCAGGTCGCGGCAAGAAGAAGAAAATGGGCAACATCTTGCCGCTGTTGATCGCCGCGAAAGTGAAGATGGGCATCTTGGCTACTCTCACGTACTTCATCGCCGGCATCCTGGCGAAGAAGGCGATCTTCGCGTCGCTCCTCTCGCTCGCCATATCCGCCTTCGTCGGCATGAAGTCGCTATGGGGCGGCAAGGGCGGCCACGACGTCACCGCATACTCCAACGGCTGGACATTGCCCATCGGAGGCGGATGGTCCGGCGGCGGCGGCGGCGGCTGGTCCGCTCCCGTCGTCTCCGGCGGATGGTCCGGCGGCGGCGGCGGCGGCGGTTGGGACGATTCTCACGCATACGCGCACGGCCAAGCGTACTCCGGATACCACCATTAGCGATCAGGGTCATCGGCGCACCTTGCTCTTGACCCTTTCTCCTCTTCTTCCTTCTCAATGAGCCACGGGCGACGCGGGGAACGGGTCGTCGAGCGCCTCGTCTTCCTCGTTGCTTCGCGTCGGCCTCGTTCGCGGCCGACATATCGCGCGAGGATATTTATTTCTAATTTATCGACAAAGTAGAGAGCGAACGTTCGGGGTGTCCGACGTCCTTCCGCGATGTACATAGGGTGTGTTATCGCCCGCTCGCGCGTGTGCGAATAGATCGAACAGGCAGAACCGAATCAAAACTGAGAGGCTAGTCGCAACGCATATCGGCCGGAGTAACTCGGGGGACATAAACTCCGGTGGCCGATAATAACGATACATTATAGGACACATCTCAGTCACGACCTCCCGCGAGCGCGAGCTGCCGCGCGCGAACGCGACTCTCGTAGCGGAACCCACGCAGTACATCTAGTCTGACACGATGTGTACGAAAATAGTCGTTAGCCTCACCCAGCGTGAGGCTACGTCCTCGATGAGATCCTGCGTATGCTTTGTAATATGCATCTTTGTTAATAGAATATTATTTGTACAAACAATAAAATAATATCGCAACTGTTTGCCGATGTCAATGTACGCGCACTTCTCTCTCCTCCCGTCCCCGTCACGGAGTAAAAGTAATCAGCTGTCCGTCTGATACGATTGAAATTTAGCTACCAGACCTTACCTGCTTTCCAGCTGTGGAGGCTGAATGCTATACACAAGGACAAGGAATCAGCTGAATTAACGAAATTTCAATTGCATTATACGAACAGCTACTTTTTACTTGTAGGGACTAGTTTTCATCCGTCAGAGCTACTTATTTTTTTCCGGAACTTCTCTGGGCAATTTGCACACGATGCTGCGACAGGTCGTTCGAGAGGAACTTCTCGTGTAAAAAGTATAGTTAAAGAACTGTTTTGTAAATTTTCCTCGGAAAGAAGCCGACAACATTCGCGGAGGAATCGATGAAAACGTTTTTCATTCCGACTTTTTCATTAATTCGTGGAAAGAAACGTGAAGAACCCCGCAGAAAATGGTAGAAAACCGGTTTCTCCGGGACCTTTAAAGCTATAGTAAAAAGTCGTGGTGTGTTCATTGAGCGAAAGATGTGCTTTTCGTAGTATCATGTTTATAGACGATGACACTTCTCCGAGGGAGACGCTCCAACGAGAGTCCTCTCGCCCAAGCGGCCGCCGCCGGTGAAAGTCTCGATCCTTGAATGAACGATTACGATAACCGAGCGCGAGTCCGTTGATTTAAAGGAGAGCTCCGTCCGGCGCGGTTATTAATAATACACGCTCGATTCTCGCGGGGCCGAATCCGCCAAATCATCCGCCTCGCCGGTATCTCGGAGCTTCGAAAAAGAGAAATCATCGTGACGACAACCGGCGGCGGCGGCAACTTTCCAGTCTTCCTGGAACGTCCGAAACATCACTTTTTTATTTCTCTCTTCACGAGCGAAACTCCTCGCGGCGGCCGCGTTGCATAAAGAACGCCCTCGAAATCGTTAATGCTGAGGAGGTGCTCCGTGCTCTCCTTGGCGAGTCATCATTCGCCGGCGATCGGCCCGAGCCGACGAGATGGAAACGCAGCCGGCTGACTCTCGGTGCCGGTCGGTCGTACAAGCTGAGGGGAAAGTGCACCTCTCTCAGGTGCATCCGGGCAGAAAGCCGGAGCCCCGATCCGGCGTGGTCGCGAAGGTCGCGCGTCATTCCCAATCGGGTCGAGAGGAAGACAGGCATCCCACTAAATCTCTTTCGAGACCGATGTCCCCTTCAGTCCCACATAGAAGAAAAATAAATAGCTGGAAAGGAGGTTGAGGCAAAATTGCCGTTTCTTCCGTGAGCGAGCGAGTGCGCGCTAAAATCTCACCGGGCGGCTAAGTAAGAAGAATTTTACGCCGACAATAGGTACGTACGCCGGCTCAACGTTTTCTAGGACGGACCGATCGTCCCCGACCGTCTCGATGATTAGCGTTTGCACGCGCCGGGAAAGAGGAAACGGTACCAGTGTCGAGTGGCGAGTTGGGCAAGGAACGTCCGTGCTCACCTTCTGACTCCGTCCGCCAATAGACATCGCGATGACGCGGAACTAACCGCTTCGTGAGAGGTGGAAAGAGAGTACAAGTGACCGTCGAGATGAATGCCGCGGCAACGTCAAAGAACTTTGTTCCCGATCGCCGGTTTTTCAATCAGCGTGTTATCTCGCGTTTAGGGGGAAGCATCAAAACTGACGCAGGTATGGTAAACTGACATATCTGTATTTCTCAAACGTCGTAAAATATAGTGACTTGCGAGGAAATATGTAATCATTTTCATGAGACTATTGTATGTTTTGGTAAAGTGTTCGCATCAATGCGCATAAATGTTAATTTTCGATCTCCAACGGGGAGACTTCACAAGCCAAAAACTCAAAATGATATGTCACTCTTGGTTTTCTCTTCTAGTAATTATTAGGTGCTTAAGCGTCTGTGTTAGAATCCCGCTGTCGAAAAATAAATCACTCGTGTGAGGCGCAGCGCGTGAGATAGGAGAGCGGAGTTGCGGCGAGGAGTGGCGCAAAAAGGAAGCGATTGTCACGCCTCGTTACGTTCAATAACGACGACCGCGACGCAGCCTTCGCGGCCGGGAAGGACAACGGGGAAAAAGACGCGACGTGACTTCGAGAGGAAGAGGAATTACTTTCGTTTGCGCTAAGGCGCGTCGAAGAACGCTGTATTGATACTGAAGAAGGACTGAAATATAAGAAGCACTTCCTCTTTTCATTTCTCTCTTTTTTCTTCTCCCACCAAACGTTTTCATATTCATTGTACATCCTATGTATGCACAAAGAAAAAAATTATATATATATATATATATATATATATATATTAAATATATATCACCGCATATATTTATTATATCATAATGTATATCTACCTCATATGTACCTGATATATTGTAACGTATATTTACCTTATGTATATAAAATGTGTATCCAATATACACAGAATATTATTTGCACATCATCCTATATACATAGGATACATAAGAGCACATATATACAAAGGAAATATCCAATATTATGCTGGTTTCTTCACAATTTCCGTCTTCCTCAGAACGCCGCGCTTCTTTTCGTCATCTGCGCGATATTCGAAACACTTTATCGCTGGCTAAGAGGAAAATAGTGTACCTCCGGTGAACGCGTACGTTATACGAGAGTGTGAGAGAGAAAGCAAGAGAGAAAGAAAGAGAGAGAGAGAGAGAGAGAGAGACGGTGCGTAGAGCGAATAAATAGGAAAAAAGTGTCATGAAAATCGACGCCGCGGCGGCCCGTCACGGATGCGCGAGCGGATGAATAGAACCGTTCGTCGAGCCGCACAAAAGCGGAATTTCTCCGTGCTCGCGTAGCGTCTCTCATTATTAGAGAGTCGTAAAGTCCCGATCGCGTCTTTTACCGGCATCTAAATCCAGGTACGGTTCTCACGTCACGATTAGGTTCGGCTCGAGTTTCTCATGCGTCACTGGGTTACTGGATTTTTCCTCGGCGATAGGTCGATTTCTTGGCTCGTTATTAAGCGCATGTCGTCCCCGTCGTCGCCTTGCGTTACGATTCGATCCACTTTGCATACGAGAAACAACATTTCTCCTATGCAACTCCGCGATTCAAGGCGCACCGAATTACCCGCATTTCCGCCTGCGATCTATACACCGTGAAACCGGCGATAATAATTCTCAGATTAACGAACCGGAAGCCGGTGCGAGCCGAGTGAGCCTGAATGAAGCAAGTCGACGTGTCGGTGCGATGCACGGAACTTCGACGCAGCATCGACTTCTTCGGGGAACGGTGGCACTTCATCTTTAAATCAATGCGTGCGGTCTCATAAATGTCCTTACATTTATGGACGGCATTCATAGTCGGATCTTATATTCAAGACTGTCTTAAGTTCATCTTCAGATGCTTCGTAGCCAATGAAATGAGCCATACGTCTGAAGATGAATTTAAAACAGTCTTTAATATAAAGCCCGACTATGAACCTACCTAAGTTTCTTTTTATCCGGAGGTGTTGTAATTAAATATTAATATTTCCCTGGTAGAGAAATGTATGCAGTTTTCTTAGATACCCATCGTGTTACTGTCTAGTATTAGTGCATTCTCATTAGATTTGTTCAATACTCATATTTACTATGCATTCTACTTATTATGCATTTATTATGTATTCTACTTATTATGCAGTTATTATGCATTCTACCTACATTTGTTCTGTCTTATCATATTTGTAACAGTGTTGCGTAGAAAATGAACAAGAACTCGATAAGATTTTATTCAGGAATACTTCCAGGGCAAAACTGCTTATTTCATACAAGAAGCAAGTTTGCTCATTTATCAATTGGATAATTTTTGTCCACCTATTGTTCTATTTTCGTTCAATAAATAGATTCATCCGATTTTGCGCATCTTTTGTACGTAGTAACTGCGCCGGAAAAGTGTGACATTTTTATCGGGATACCAAATAGTTTTACTCTTCAGTTATTAGACGGAAATAAACGGTCCAGTAACCATTCAAAATGTACATGAAATTTCTACCGGGGTTTTTTTATTTCATGTTCTCCATCTCGTGTATCCAATGCTAAATTCAATTTGATATCTCTTCATCTCTCTACGATTAGTTTTATATTAATATTATACACTAAAGAAATTTTCCCGTGGGCAGAAATTAATATACTTTTCTTTGAAAATTGTTTAATTAATTCTTTTCTTACTTTCTATCACCATTATTATTATTATTTGTTTAAAACGCCAATTCGTGCGCTGCGAAAGGCCGCGGGTAATTCATTCATTCATTCAAATTCAATCTCATGTTATCAAACGCACGATCTCGTATCCGGTCCTCTGCAACATTAATCCCCGAGATAAGTTTCATTCATGAAGCGCGCGCTTGTAGCCGGAGGTCGGTCGGAAAGTCTGTTATCTCGGCGAACGCCGGCCGTGCATTAACACGATGCGTGTACGCGGGCATTGGCGCACACGAACGGCACAGACCGGTGTCTGAGGTGGATACGCACCGTCTGGATACACCTTGAACTTAACCGACCGCCGCGCGATTTCGAGACAATCGCGGCGGCCGACCGTTACCTTTCCCGTGACTTTCAACGCCCGAGTCACGGCCAGGGTCGAGTTGTCGCACGGAACGGATATATCCGCCACGACAGAAATCTAATTGGCGCTCCGGCGCTTAATTGCCTTCGGCGGCCCGGCTAATTGGTAATGCAACGGACAGCGCTCCGGGTTTCTCCGGACGATCGCTCTCGCTCCAGCATCCCGATCGCCGCGCGGTCTCCTTCCTCCGGGAAGCCTTTGACGAGACGCACCATCTCTTTTGGGCGACTTTCTTGGCGATTCGGCGCAACCGAACCGCATGCTAATGAGATGTTTTAATATAGCCGGGTCCCGATGATCGATTTGACAGGGTTCACTGTCGATATCCGTGGAATTAATAAGTGTTATCTAACGAATCAGCTTTTATACGGCGGTAAAAGCCGATCGTATGATTTGATTACACATCCGTCCGAATCTCTCGCCTCTCTCTCTCTCTCTCTTGTACTTGGGAAAAAAAGCGCGTCATGTGAACACGAGGAAAAGGAACTCCGCAACTGAACGGAGACCAGACGCAAACTAGGTGACAGGATATGAAAACTCGGTGGTGAGAATTGAAAACTCGGCCGCAAGAAATGAATATTCGGTGACTAGAAGTGATATCTCTCGGGAGATAACAGATTTGTTACCGCGACAAGGAACAGTTCGTGCGAACTGAGAGCGATTTACCGAGTAAAAACCTCCGATAGGAATCTTCCTACTACTGTACGGAGAGAAAAAAATATCTAAGAGATAAAGCAATATTTGTTCGGTGGATGTTAAACGTGTTTATTTACATTAATATTATACATGTTTTTATACTGAAGGAAAGATCAGATTTAAGTAAATATATTATTAATAAAATAACCCCATTAATGCTGCTTCATTCCCTAAGCGTCGTAATATTGAAGATTTCCTGTCAAACGTAATATTTTCGAATATTCGTGCGTCTCATGACTGCTGCTTTGGAGCAACATTGCCGACTCACCGAATAATCAACAGTCATGACGCGCGAATATTGAAAAATAACGTGCCCGATTGGAATTTCGAGTCTAACCTCCCAGGCAACGGAAAATTTGGTTACATCAACGGAATGATTTCTCCCGTGTCACCGCAATCGCATAGCGATTGAAGAATTCTAGTCAGGAGTCATTGCCACTTCTACGTTTTTCAAATCAAAAGCAACAAGAATGTACAAAAGTTGAGGCCGAATATGACAGCAATCTCAATTATCCGAATCGTCCTTTTCTCCCTCATCGTCAGATTAATTCGGACACAATTTCCACAGTGGATGAGGAAGCGTCAGGCCAGGCGACGGGCCGCGGCTTCGTCGGGGCGACGTTGATTGTTCGCGAGCATTTGTCGCAGGCTGGACGATTGTCCAGAGTTAATCAGAACGACGATCGCCACCCGTTCACGCATGTGCATGCGTGTATGCGCCGAGGAGCCGTGCGAGACGTTCGCTTTTGTTCGAGGGTGTACGCGCGCGTCACTTCCCGGCTCACTTTGTTCTCGCGTCGCTCGCTTGAAAGAACCGCCGGGTTCAGCAGGCCGCGCGTCAGGTGTATGATTTCGCTCAAGGCGACATTCGCTCTCGCGTACCGGGGGATCTTGATCTCCGAGAGAAGTCGGGATCGAGAACATCGTTACCGTGGGAAGGAGCGAGAGAAAGAGGGAACGCGAGAGGGATAGACGCACACGCACAGAGTAGAGGGAGGCAAGAGTCCGCGGTGGAGAGAAAGAGATAGAGAGAGAGAGAGAGAGAGAGAGACGAAAACGATCGCCCAACTCTCGACCCAGTTATAAATAGGTGAGCGACCTCGTTCCAGGGATAATATCTCGCGTTCATCATACCCGAATTTTTCGGAGACGGACGTGTCCTCGACGACGATCGAGCCCACCGTCGTTCGCAGAGACGCGCGACGGACTCTGCGAACTTAGCGAGCGAGCGCGATCAGACGGACGCGCGCGCTTACCAGCTCCCGATGCCGCGTCGTCGCGTCCCCGACGAAGCCGTACGATCGGCCGGATAATGTCCATTGTATTCCTACGGCTTCGCGGCCGGGCGAGTAACGCCGGGAGGAACGAAAATAATGGCAGTTTACCGTAAGTGGTTCGACGCAGCATCTAGACTGCTCGCGCTACCATCGTGCCACTTAGAGCGGAGAATTAATCAAGCCGAAGTGGTGAGGCCGTGAGTCACGGCGCAAACACACGCGTGCACACACACGAGCCGTCGCTAATGGAGGTTGTAATCGCATCCGCCGACGCTGGATCCTTCTTCGGCGAACGCGGGCACCTATCGAAAATTACACGACCTCGTTGAGGCCCGGTATCTGGAGCGGTCGGCGCGCTTCTGCCGTCGCGCTTATTTGAATAAACCAAGAGCAGAGAGAGAGAGAGAGAGAGAGATCGAAGCGGCCGTGTGGTGAGCTCTAGAATTTCGTTCCGTGAATTGCACGCTCCGAGCAATACACACACACAGCGCAACGACCGTCGGAGGATCCCCCGGCGGTCGGAATTCCTTGATTAGGCGTCTCGAATCAACGTCATTAGGACACACATACGCGAATACCTGTTATACACCCTCCTCCTCCTCCCCCGTGCACGCGCGATGGTCATTCGAGTCGTCGCAACACTCTCGCGATAATCATAGGCGGACGAACGAAGGAACGAAGGAATGGAGGAACGAACGGGCCGGGTGAAGTGGTGCGGCAAATCATACGGGATCTCACATATACTTTTTCCGTCGTCCTGAATGTCACGGGTTTCCCCCGAGACCGCAGGTTTCCCTCATCGAATCTGGTCCCGATCGCCGGCTTTCTGGGGGGGCGATCTCCCCTTCTATCGGCGGTTCTTAATGCGAAAGCCGAAGTAGGTCCGTAGCGTGAGAATACCGCGTAGCTGGAAGTCGGCGGGAAGAGAGTAAGTAGGAGAGAATCGCGGGCGAGGAAGAGAGACGCACGAGCGGCGGGCCAAACGAACCGAGGAGTGTGCGTAATTTGAGAATGCATGTTAATTTCTCCCTCCCCTCTCTCTCTCTCTCTCTCGTTTGCTGCGAAGATCCTCTTTTCTAGAAGATCTCGCGGATGTGTATCCATCGCGGACTCTCTCGTCCTTCTGCACGCGCTCTACGTTGCCCCTCTTCTAGCTGTCTTCCTCTTCTCGGCCGGCCACTTGCCGGCCGTTCTTCTTGTTTTTCCGTGCGATTGATCAGCGAGGTTTTTGCCTTGCCGAAATAACGTCGGCGAAGGAGAGAGAGGGAGAGAGAGAATGAGGGAGCGACGATGATGAAAGGGGAGGAAGCGAGCGTGGGGAGGTCCTGGCGGTACACTCGATACACTCGACGGAGCAAGAGAGAGAAAGGGGTGGGGGGTAAACGAGAGAGGAGCAGCGAAAGGAGGGATACGAGAGAGCGTACGACGCGAATGCGGACCCTCGCCGAGAGGGCCCACCGGGGCTCCCCTCGTGCGATACTTCGGTATAAAAGCAAAGCAACCTCTTTTAGATGTAACACACGAGGCAGCATCGGCGGATCCCGGTCGTACACCTTCGATCGTATCGTCCGAACGACGAGAGAACCCGTCAGTGTCCGGCGCACGTCGGCCGAGGAGCTGAGGAACGCACGTGGAGGACACGAGGAGGAGGATCGTCCGTTCACGCACGATCGTCACGCGGCGAAGTAGCAGACGGTGTGTCGCAAGCATGGGCAAGCATCTCGCGACGTTACTGTGGACGTCGGCGGCGTTGGCCGCGGTGAGCCTGGCGCTGCCGACCAACGACAAGAGCGGAAGTGAGAACGACCTGATGGCGACCATATACGCCGACTGCCTGAAGAAGGAGTCCATCAGCTGCATCAAGTACAAGGTATTCACTTACGTGGACAAGATGCTGGCCGACAAGGAGGACATCACGCTATCCGAGGGCATCACCGTCGTCAAGACGTCCAACGGCGAGGAGGGTGCGCCAAGGTCGGTTCTCGTCCGCCGCTGTACTAAAGAAATTGTGTCGAAAGCGGATATTTCATTGATTTCATACGGGGAGTGTGTCCAAAAGTATACGAATGTTATGATCGTTGACTAATCGATTCGTCTTATCAACGTATTCATGAGGTAAATGTGTTAGTTCAACGTTGTATTTCTATGCTTTTCGATACATTCCCCGTGCTTGCAACGCAAAACTTTCAGCGTTCTCGACGGCAAACATTTTTTTTATCGCGAACACCTTGTGCGGACTCGCTTCTGCGGCGACCTGCGACTAGATCGGATTGAACTTTGACCTTGACTGAAGAAGGAAATCAGTCGAATCGCGGACGACTTCGTCGCAGGCTCGCGATGATCCACTTGCGACACGCGATCGCCGCGATGAGTGCGTCGCAATTATTATTCATGTCTTTCGGCAGATCTATCGAATCCAGCGACCTGGATACGCTACTGTTCGATCGGCTCGGGAGGTTCCTGAGGACGCACTCGGTGAAGGTCGACCTGAAGGGCAGCGACATCCTGGGGGCGATCGAGTCCGCCGGGCGCAGCTTTGAGGATCTGAGCGACAACGCCGTCGAGAGTCGCGGCAAGAAGAGTGAGTATTTACGAACCCCGGATTCTAGAAGAGCGCGGAGATGAGAGGCGGCGCCGAGCTTCGGATGCGCTTAATTATGACACGGAACCGGTTACGAGACAGCGGCAGCGTTCAATTATGTTTCATCGAAAGCCTTCTCGTTTTTCGCCGGGGAAACTTCCGTACTCGGCTCGCTCGCTCGTTCTCGCGTCCGCCAAATGGAGGAATTCGACGCCATGAAAGCGAAACTAGAGCAATAATCGAGCAATCCTCGATCAAGTTGCGAGTCGATTATTTCGTATGTTTTATGACTGATTACGTGCGATTGGAATATCTTACATACCTGTTATCGAATTACGTAGAACGCGATTTACATAAACTTGCGATATAGGAATATAGTGCGTAGGAATTTTTGCGAAGAATTCAAGGCCGATACTTTCTCATAGCTGGACATAGTTTGATTCGGTGAATACATTGACTGTTTTCTGAGGGCGGAAGGTTATTGGAAGAAACGTGAAAAATAAAACTGCTTGACTATAGGGATGTTGGCTTCGGGTTTTTCGTAAAAAGCCAACGAATTTTTACCGAACAGCCAAATATTTCTCTCGGCTTTTTCTGTTATGCCTATACATCGATTTGTACATTTTTGCGGTCGATACGTACAATGGATTATAAAAGATTTCATATATTTTACAATCGATCACGAGATCGCAACATATTATATACTCGCATTATCGCGTTACGTCCAACGGGATTTATATAGACTCGCGATATTTTTCTCCCGGATTCTCCCGTCACGTCTCTGCATGGCTTATTAATACATTTCGATCACCGATACGTACGATTGATTAGAAAATATTTCATGTATTTTACAATTTATCACGCGATATTTTGCACATTTTACAATTGATCGTGTGAGAGAGATTGCAACGTATTACTCGCATTGTCACCGTTTACTCATATTATCACATTCCGTATCAACAATATCGGCTGACGATAGCACGCTTTTTTCCTCTACCACTGCGAGTCCATTGATTCGCGCTCATGACCTCCCGATGGGAAGATCCGTGAGTCATGCGGCCGTGTAATAGGAAAAGAAAAGAGAAACAGACTTTTCGCATGCCGCGGGGAGATAATCGCGGTTCATCAGGGCCAACGTCAGCTGCGGTACGGGAGTTCTCTCGGCGTGTGAACAGCGACGACGACGACGAGGAAGCCGATACCGGCCGCAGACGTTGACCCACTGAGGAACTGGTTCCGCTTCCCCTTGAATCTCCTCCTCGACGGAGGAGGATCGGGAGGAGATCGCCGGCGATATACCGAAAGCTTCAGAGAGAGAGAGAGAGAGAGATTGTGGAAGAGAAAGAGAAAGAGATTGCGAGTGAGAGAGAGAGAGAGAGAGAGGGGTAACGATAGGAAGGAAGACGGGGAGAGACGCGGGATCCCGCCACGCAAGATTTTTGACACACTTTCCATCTTCTGCTGGTACTTCGCCTTGACTTTCGACTATTCCGCTTGAAAAATACGGGCATCTCGCACCGATCTCGCGCGCAATGAAGGACCCTCATTACGCCCACGTAATGTGACGTGTCATCGATCGATCGATCATGCGTGCGCGTGGCCGGGCACACTCGCGCGTGCAGGCGCGTGTTAACACGTTCATTGCCAAGCTGAAAATTGGAATTTCGTATTTTTTTAAATTTTTTTATTTAGTTTTTATTGTGCTCAAAATAAGTTAATATATTATTTATATGTTTTTATGATTATGTACATAGGATTTATGTACTCTAAATATCTATTACGCGATAACGCGTGATCGGCCGTTTGATGAGAACTCGCATCACGCGATATTGCGTGATTGGCAATGAACCGTGTTAATACCTCGACAGCTTACTCCCTGGACATGCCGGCCGATGATTAATATCAGCGTACGGGAACGGATAAATGACAGTCTTCCGTTGCCTCGATGTCACATTGTGCGCGTTCCCGCGAACTCGCGCGCGGATTATCTCGATACGAGACATCGCGACGTGTCCCGATTGTCGTGTTCCGCAGCTCGTTGTTCCGGACTCCTGCCGACGAACATCGGAATCGGGGATCTCCGAGTCATTCATAATTCGTCGGCACTACGAGTAGCGTTATTCTGGCTTCTCATTGAAATCGAGCCGCCGCCGCAACGGTTTCTCATCCCGATCGCACGCACACACGCGCGAGACCGATACCTTATTGAGTTATGTCAATACACGGAGAGGAGGCGTAAATAAGCGAGGAGCGGGTATACATTTCTGGCACAAACTAGTCGACACGCTATTTATTATTCTTTCCGGTCTCGAAGACGAGTATACCTTGTAATGCCACATCTCGTAATAAGGTAATCGGCATCAAGGAGTGAAAACATGTATTCAGACGTGCCTATTACACCGCATCTCACGGTTGTGGTGTATGCGTGTGTAGGTACGCGCGTACGTATGCGTGTGTACACGCGCCCGGATGCCCGTTTTCCCTGGAAGCGCGGAAAGAGAGTAACAACGACGCTGACCTTCCAAGTGCGAGCGGAAAGGAATCCAGGCGAACCTCCACGCGCATTCAAATCGACAAACCTCGGCGAAATAGCTATTCCAAATTTTCCTCTACGAAAGAAAAGGGAAAAAGGCGAATAAATACCGATGTTTGAAGAGCGTCCGTCGGTTAGAGCCGCCCCGTGTCGATGCCGAAGTATACGATTGTTTAAAATACAAGCGAATCCGCGAACGCGGATTCGAATTGATAAATTTCGAAAATAATTATTCAATACGTACTTTTAAATAAAAGGAGAGAAACAAATGTCGATGCTTAAAGAAACAAACGTCTGTCGCGTAGAGTCGTATTGATGGTCGTTAATAACTGTGGTCTATTGACATTTAAGGGAACTCGCGAACAAAAATCTGAATCAACAAATCTCGAAAATAATTATTCAAAATATACATTAAAATAGAAGGAGAAAGATTATCTACACTTAAAAGAACGAAAGTCCGTCGCTTAGAGTCGTCTCGTATCGATGTATTGCTAAAACGCGCGATCTTTTGAAACTCAAATGAATTCGCGGATCCGAAATCTCGAAAATAATTACTCAAAGCGTATTTTTAAAAAAAGAAGAAAAAAATGATGTACGCTTAAAAAAGATAAACATCTGTCGTGTAAAATCGCCCGCTATCGCTAAAAACTACGATTTTTGGAAACTCAACGAATCTGAATTGAAAAATCTCGAAAATAATTATCTAAATTCTTAAAAACGTATCTTAAGAAGAAGAGGAAAAAAGTTATCTACAGGGAGAAAAAATTTTCTTTGGATTCAGTACATATGTCTGTTTTGCTTGGATTTGTTTAATAAACAACATAATACAATAGCAAATATCATTTTGTTTAAATGATAACATTATTGTTTCACTAGAGTGAAACCGTGTCGTTTGTTGGCAAAACAGCATTATTTAGAGAAAATAATATTTGGTTGTCAACAATAGTAAAAACTTATTTCTCATACATCAAATATTGTTCCACTGAGAGAAACAAAGAAGTTCTTTAACGTTCCTCTAACACAGATGTTATTTCTTTCAAATAACTTATTACTTGAAACATTGTAATGTTCAATGAAAATACAAAAGAAATATGTCAGCTGACAGAGAAATCTTACTTGAGAAGCTAAACTATTTTGTCAATCGAATGAAACATTCCTTTGTGTTCGCTCCGTTCCGGAAGGAACGCAAATTCGTTTCAATCGAATAAATGCCATCAGATCCAAAGGAATCTTTTTCCCCCGTGCGCGCTTGAAGAAACGGAACGCGTGACGCGCGGAGTCGCGGCAAATCGGCGTCACGCTAAAACAATCGTTTGAATTGAAACATTTCAGAGAAGGCGCAGAAGATCCTGGGGCCTCTGATGATGGCGATGGCGCTGAAGGCCGCGGCGCTGCTGCCGCTCGCGCTGGGCGCGATCGCGATGATAGCCGGCAAGGCGTTGCTCGTGGGCAAGATCGCCCTCGTGATCTCCGCCATAATCGGGCTGAAGAAGCTCCTCGGCTCGCACCAGAAGCACGTGACCTACGAGGTGGTGTCGCACCCGCATCACAGCAGCAGCCACATCGTCAGCCACGACGACGGTCACGGCGGCTACGGGGGCGGCGGCGGCGGCGGTGGCGGCGGCGGTGACTACGGCGGCTACTCCGGCAGCAGCGGACACGGCTGGGCCAGGAGTCTGCCCCAGGACGCCCACGAGATCGCCTACCGCGCCCACCAGCCGCAGGCGCAGGCTGCCTGATCGCGTCCACCGCGCGACCTCTCGCCTCGCTTCTCCCCTGCGTCCTTTTCCAACCCCTCGTCACCCTTCTTTCATTTCGCTCGCTTCCTCCATCGCGTTTCTTCCTTCTTCCGGTCCCCCCTCCGCCCTGTTGTCTTCTCCTCCTCTCCACTTGTGTCCCGCTGCAATGTGTAATATTTATTTCGTTTCCCGTATCTACTACTGTTACTACTGCTGGACTTCCTGTTCTGGTTCTCGACGGCCTTCCGGCGACGCGTGACTCCCCGAAATCGCCGCGCGCGAAACCTCCTCCTCGCAACATGTTTCTTTTCTCTCTTATCGTCATCTCCTACGTCCTCTCGTCTGTCTCTCTCGCTATTCCTCTCATTTCCTCTTCTCCTACTTGCTCCATCCTGCGCAACGGTCGGCTCATCCTACGGCCAGTCACCAGTACCTCTGGGAAATGCTCATTGTTTTATACATATATGTAGATTTGTGCGAGTCCGTTATTTATTTTCTCTCGTTGTATCGTATTATTATTATTATTATTATGATTATTATTAATATTTATTTGACCGTTTGACTGTGTGCTTCCACTATACACCCGCTGTGCCCGTGTGTCTTCTTTTGTTTTCTTTTTTTTTTCGTAATAAAAGGACGACAAACGTGAGACGCAGCTCCGTCTTGCCCTGAAAAAAAACAAAGGAAGAAAGAAAGAAAGGAAAGGAGGAAGAAAGAATGAAAGACTACGACGTGTTAAGGTGGGTACACACCGAACGAACGAACAGCGAGCGCGTGATACGAATGTGTACATTCGCGTCTGAAGGCGTACGGATTTCTCTCGACAAATCACCTTGCGAGCGAATCAGCTCGGAACGATCCGTCCGAATTAGTTGTGACGTACGCATCTTCCAAATACTAATAACGAAAACTCGCATTCGCTCCTCGTTCGTCCACTCAGTGTATACCCGCGTATGTCTGAAAGACGTCTGAAGAACGTCCTTCAAACGTCTAATCTAAAAGACGCCTTACGATATCTCAGGGCGTCCCGAAGTTACCCGGGTTTTACCCGTCCCACCGCGTCAGGGAAGGTGCAGCCCCGGCAGGATAGGAAACCCAGGGCGAAGCCCCGCCGGTTCCTCCTCTCCGGCGGAGGAGCGGCCGCTGTGACCGGGCGTTTCTATTTATACGATACACTTGCACTGACGGTCGCGAGGCGTAACGTCCGTGAAATACGGTCCGTCAAGCAGCAAACGGCCCGGTCGGCACCGGATACGCCGCGGTGTACCACATTCCGCGCGATCAGACGGACAACGCGATGGGCCGAAGTTCACGGGCGAAAGTAGTCGAGGAATGCGCGCGACGTTCACACGCGAATAATTAGCGCGCCCGCGGCCGCTCTCTTCTCGCGCTCCACTGCCTCGCTTCATCGTCGCTATTATCGGAGATACGGAGGATAGCCGAGGCGTTCCGAAATCGCCGGGGATAATCGTTCGATATTACTCGTGGTCGCATTATCAGACGTGCGAGCGAATATCGGGTATCGGGGAAATCGGCACTGAATTGATTTCGACGGGGGAAAGGAAGTGGGATAAATTCGCACGAAATAGCGCGGCAAGAGGGAAAGACAGAGAGAGAGAGAGAGAGAGATACCGTTAAGCTGCACGCAGCGTTAATATCGAGTATATCGAGTATTTCTATACCGTAACTGGCCACTAACCCGACTCACTGCCGCGCGGGGACGCGGCTGCAATGAAAACGCTCGTAAATCCGGCGCCGACGGTATTTCCCCCGGGTCGGCGACGCGCGATACGCGCCCCCTCTCGTCCTGGCGCGCACGATCGTCCTGCGAGAGAGCACGGAGCGGGCAGAGCGAGGTATGCGCGCAACTGGTAACCTGCATACCGCGGCGTGGCTCGACGCGTCGCTCCTTCTGCCTCTGCGTGCACACGCCGGCCCCGGAGGGAAGAAAAAGAAGGCACAATGTAACGACAGTTTCATTGGCCGCGAAGCCACGCGTATCGGCGCAAGGAAATCACCGTACGACACGCGGAACGGTCTGCAAAATGGAATTCAGGATCGCGGCCTCGCGAACCGGAAACGCCGCGAATCCGCCCCCCCCCTCCTCCCCGCGCGATTATATCAGCTCGCCTTGCTCCGCGAGAAACGACGAGGTTAAGAGACGAGGATGAGAAGATGAGGACGACGAAGGAAACGATGTCTCGTGATGAGACCCGTCGCTTTCGCCGCGGCCGTCGGGGGGATCATTTTCACGGCACGTATACGCGCGCGCTCACGAGAAATCGGTAACGCGACGTTTTATGCAGGTAAGTTCCGGCAGCCGTCTCGGAATCGCTCGCGACGATAGGCGGCGAGCCGCGACGAGAGGACCCAGAAGAGAAGCGCGTCTCCTTCCTCGACGCCGCATCCGTGAGCCGGTCGCGAGGCTTTCTCGCCTCGGCGCTCGTGCGCGCCTTGAGGATGTATCACCCACATCTCGATAAATAATGACGAAGTTGTTGATTTACTTTATCGCAAACGGGGAAAAAGTCCATTTTAGTAGAAATTAATAGATAACGCCCGAGAAATCGAAAGATCTGAAGATTAGGTGAACGGATAATGTTTACACAGGAGGGAGTGTTATTGAAGAGAAAATTCGTAAATACAGATCGCTGTTGAAAATTCGAAGGTGAATTCCCACCGGAAATCCAATGAAGCTCATGCGAATACATATGGGATAATAAAAATCCATGTAGGATTCCACGTGGAAATTCATCTAGGAATCCACGTGGATTCCTACATAGGTATGTAGAAGTTCATATAGGATTCCACATAATATTGGATTCCTATATAGTACTTGGGACTTGAGTTTTTAGCCTAAATCCTCAGAGGCAACCGTGGGATTCCGTATAAATTTCCTATATGTTTAAATTATATGTATGTTATAAGTATAAATACAAGCGATACACCAGAGCTGAAAGAATCCTTACAATATCTGATTTAAAAGATTTTAAAAACATATAATAAATATTTATTAATAAATGTTAAATGAATATTAATCGATAAGTATTCGCTAACAAAGATAACCTATTTATTTATATTTAATTAAATTTACTGTAAAGAGTACGGTGTAAACATGAAAAGATGGAAAATAACTAAGAGAGTTAAGGAGAACATGCTAGTAATGTGAATAATTATAATAATTTATAATTTATAATAATTTAATAACTATGTAATAAATAACACGTGATACAGAAAGAATATGTTGGGCCATGAGTAGCCAAAGCACGGATGTTACAGTGCTGTTTTAAATATTAATATTGTCAACATTAATATTATTTGTGGGAAAATAATTGTGGGAAGATAATTCAGCATGTAATGACGCATGTCCTGAATATTCTCAGACAACTGCAAGCAGAAAATTAATATCATGTTGTGAAAAAGTTATGGAAAAATTACAAATTGATCTACATTGTATTTAAAAATAACACCAAAAGTTTAATTCAGAAATTGAAAGAATGGATCGAAAGTTATTCCACTTTAAAGAAGGCTATCAAGTGAAATGAGTTTGATAAGAATTTGATGAAACTGCGTAAGTGCGAAACTTGCATTGCGTATATATTGAAATATTATCTAACCGTTTATGCGATTGGAAAAAAATTGATCAATCGAGAGCTGAGATATTTATAACTAAAGCTGACAATTTTACACATGTTCAATTTTATACAATAAAATTTTGATGAAAAACTTCTATAATATTAAAAATTAATTAATATGCAGACATTATACACAAATTTCAGAATTATTGACTGTTTTGTTTTGAAAATAAAGAAGTGCAAAGTTT